TATGGGCGAGTAGGCTATTAGTTTCAAGGAAGTGCATCAGTTGCCTATTTATCATTTTCTCTAAGACCTTGCAAAGGCAACTAGCTAATGCTATTGGCTTGTAGCAAGAGACTGAAGACGGGTCCTTGCCCTGTTTAAGAATCAGAATAATGATGGTTTCTTTCCAGGTGGAAGGGATCTCACTGGAAAGCCAAATGGCGTGCGTTGTACAAGGAAAGGAGTGCTGTTTGGGTTTCAGGGGGCAGATGTTTTAGCATTGAATATACTATGCAGTCGAGGCCTGGACCGGTTTTACTGCAGCAGTTTAGCGATGCTGGTAGCTCAGATAAGATGAATGGTTTATTGTATGCCTCAATGTTTGTGGATTTGCGATCTATTTTTTATTTTTTCTATTCTTGCTTTGTATCTTTGGAATGCTGCACTGTAATGGGATGAGCTGGAGACCTGTTCGAAGTGTGCACCGAGAATGTTCGCTTGGTATTCCAAACTCTCTTCTTGTGAGTTCACTAGAGGAAGTGAGTGTGCTTGCTGTCCTGCCACCTTACCAACCATGTTCCAGACTCTCGCCTTATCTGAGTGTGAATTAATGCCCGATAAAAATTTACGCCAACTTCCTCATCTCGCCTGTCAGCTCACTCTTCTGCCTTGCGACTTAAAGTTTATAAGATTATTCGACGTTGGTGAGTCTCTAAGCAACTTCCATGCCTTATTTTATTTTTTGCGTGCACTACGGCACTCATTATTCCACCATGGGACTCGTAATTTGCCCGACGGTCCACAAGTTTGAGGTATACATTTGGTTGCAGCTTCATTCAAAAAGGCTGTCAAGTAGCCCTCAGGTGCCTCTATGCTTAACACCCCCATGTCAGTTCAAGTTAAGAAAGTAATTTTTTTTAACTGTTCCCAATCAACTTTAATGGTGAGCCATTTGGGTACCTGTGAAGGACATGCATTTGCTTGCTATTGATGTGATGGATTATTATTGACTTCCCATTTAAATAGACACAGGAGTGATGGAGGTCTATTGACGAGTAGGTATTATTAACGATCCTTTAATATGTTGGTTTTTTTCGATTCAGGAGGCATGCCCTGGAAGAAAAAAAGGAGCTGTTCAATCAGGCGATCTTGTGCATTGCAGCGAGACTCCAGAGGCTATTATGTGCATTAAAGTCCCCGAAGACAAGATAGAGTTCTGGAAGTTAATTTATTAATCACTGGAATTCCTGTTTATTGAGTTTGTGATGCGGAGGTATGTAAATAGAGCGAATTGTGACCAGTTTATTAAAGAGGACAGCTCGGACAGCCACTGCCTCAAGGGGTATCTGAAGGAAAAAAATTAGAGGCTGTTCCTTGATCAACCACAACGGCAACATCGCCGGATGACATGACAGCCTCAGCCCGATCCTTTCGAAAAATGTTGTAACTGTGTAGGAAGTTGGTGTGCTTGGATTTTAAGTGTTTCTTGTACACACAGCACTTTTGGTGTATGTTTGTACAGAAGTTCTGAGATATCGTCAAGGTTTCTCAGCAGTCTTCTGACGTTCCACTGTAGCATTTGTGCCACTTTAATTTCGTATGGTGCTGTGTGTGCAAAAAGTGTTGTCTTAGGTTACAGTGTCTTTTGGGGGCCTTGTAATTCGGGGTTTTTCCTTCTTGGAGCGCTCCAAAGAGTTGCACTTGTTCTTTGGCGTCTGAGGCACTGGAGGAGTGGGACTTGTATCTATCACCTGCGAGGTGGCGGATGGTGCCTGCCCAGCAGTCATGTTCGCAATGGTTTCGGGCCTAACTGCGCTTGCAGTGGCCCGGGGTCCGGCAGACACAGGAGTCTGCTAGCCCTGTTTATCCGGTGGCGGAGCAGTACAGGCTGCTCTGACCGGGGGCGTTGATGGCGCACCCGTGGTCACACTCTGTGTGACACTTGTGGGCGTGGAAAAGTGTGGCACAGAGCTCCAGTGCATCACATCGGCAAAATAGGGAATGGACTAATCGAGTGTGAACTGTTTAAGTGCTTCTTCAAAGAATAGATTGAACTCACTTTAAGCTTGAGAATTTGTTTTTATTTTTTCCAGGATGGGCACGATCGCGAGTAGGCGGGATGGTCTCCTTCGCAGTTCGCACAGCGGGCTGCTGCAGTACAAGTCTCCAATGAGTGTTCGTTGGAGCTACATTTTGCAAAAGTAGCGCGCCCTCTGCGGCTTTGCGATCCGTGTCCAAAGCACTGGCATTTGAAACATCAATGGGTATTTGGCACATAGGGCCTGACACGAAGCTTACAGTAGCCGATTTCATCGAATTGAATAAGTCATAGTACCAAAATTAATAATTATATGTCTTGTTGCTGTTTCTTGTTCTTGTTGTATCACTATTCTCTCGACCTTGACCACATTCTGGTCTTGCCAGCATTAAAATAATTCACTTTTAGATAGTTGTAGTAGGTATTCATCAGAGACCACACCGCACACTGTATTCATTGATCTGTGTGGACTTACTGAAATTGGGACATCCCCAAATGCTACAAGTTTAGATAGATTATCATATTTGAGATTGTCACGTACTTCCAGGAGGAGGTCGCCACTTCCCAACTTGGTTACATTGTAGCCTCGACCAATGGCTTCTGTGAGTGTTTTTGAAATGAGAAAAGGCGAGATTGATCGGACTGTTTTGCATTATTTTTGGCTGTGCATGACATGGTGCTTCGGGAAGGACTGCTTTGGTTTCTGGAGTGTAAAGCTTTCTTCGGTGCACCACCTTTTCGGGTGACAATCAGTGAGTGCGGGAAAGAAGTGTGCCACACAGGTTATGAAATATTCGGCGGCGATGGTGGCCACCCACCACGAGCGCAACAAGGGGACGCTGCAAGGTAGAACACTTGAAGCCGCCAGCCATGCATCGCCACTATAACCACATATAATTACCCATGGCTGGGCAACTACACAAGGTTAACCCTCGGCACCAGGAAAAATTGCAAGTACACGAAAGATAGAATATAACAGGACAGATAAAAAGTGAAAGATAAAGACGAAGATGAGAGGAGAGAGAGATGGGAGAAGGAGACTGCCGATTTGCCCTGGGTGGGTCAGCCCAGGGGTGCCGTCTACGTGAAGCTGGAGACAAATGGGTGTGTTGCCTCAGCAGGGGGGGGGGGGGGGGGGGTCTTTAAGGTCCAAACACTTAGCGTCAGTTCAACCCCCAGGATCCCCTTTTCCCCGGACACGGCAAAACTACGCACGGCTAAGCATAAGAAGGAGTCAAAACCCCTCCTGTTAGCTCGGGTCCGTGGTGTTGCTGTACACCAAACGCCTGCTTACGCAGACGCCCCTGCGATGGTAGTCAGTAACCCTGACATAGCGGTCAGTGCTATTACCTTTCGAGGCACATTGTGGCGTCGGTGAGATGAGCACCACAGGAAACTTTTAAACAACAAAAAGTTATTGCTTCTAGTATTTATGAATTCTTATTTTTGAAGGCATTGTATTGTTAATTGGCGGTGGTCATATACCTGCGGAGACTTGCGTCACAAAAGTTTGCCATGTTAAAACTGACTGCAAGTCTTCATGCTGCTTTCTTTTTTTCTTTTTTTCCCTACTGCCTTTCCACCAGTGAAGAAATGCCTGAAAAGTGAGCAACCTTGCTTGCAGCGTCCGAAATCTGCATACGGTGTTCGTCGCAATCAGCAATATCTTTGTCGCTAGTAAAGTGCACCGTGGCATGAATGAGTATGCACTTCTCACGTACTTTAGAATGTCTGTTTTAAATTTTTTGTTCCGCTTCGTAAGTGCCATATTTTTGCCGCTACCATGTCGGACGTGATTGTTGTAACAGTAGAAGACTTTGAAAAATATTCTTTATATGTGGACATAGTTTGAATGAGTAGCATAAGAAAATGGGAAGTGAACCGAAATATGGTCGTTATAACCGATAGATCGTTACACGTATTTGTGATCGTTGTAAGTGGGTTATAGTTGAAGTACTTTAAGGGAATGGTGAAGGGAACCTCTTAAAAAAATCATGAATTGTCAACTGCTTCTTTGCTATATGTGCCTTCAGCACAAAGCTCTCTATACCAGTTGAAAAGCATCGTGGCTCACCATGCATGTACTTTATTTCAAACACTTGTTTACTAGCAAAGCCTTTTTGCTTGAAGGCCTGAGATGCTTATTTTCAGACTGTTAAGACTATATAAGCACCCATATTTTTAAATAGTAGTGGGAAAGCAGCACATATTTTCTGGTATGGAACCACAAAAAGTATGAATTAATCGAATGATGGAGTTTGAATTAATTGAAAGTATAAATTATCAGTTTGAACTATTGTGAGTCTACTGTATTTGTAAATGGTGGGTTTACATTTCAACATGCTATTATTTCCATTCCCTTGACTCTTAATTGTTTCAATGACTTGAATTAGTTTTGTAGATCTATAAGGTGATATACAGTCGGCCAAAACTTTAACTATGGATCGCAGCGGCCACTTTTTTTGTCTGTCAGCGCCTCATGATAGAACGCAGTTGCAAGAAATTGTTTTGTGGACATGTGCTTCATGGGCATTCACTTGTTCTCACCTTTTTTCTGGAACATGATTCAGTCGTATGGCAAAGATACGCAGAAAAAACTGCCGCTTGTGCACAATAGCTAAAAATTTGGCCGACTGTACTTTACCTTTTGTGACTTAACTAAAAAAATTATATGTGATGCACTTTAGCCACATTTACCTCGTGTGGTACGTTGTACCATCTACTGATTGCTATATATTGAACAAATATGCTATATTAGTACAACAGAGCAATCTAACCTTAACTCCTGCATTGGCATGTGCTGACAGTATGTGTAAAAAAATAAAATTGAAAGAATATGCACTTCCTTTTATGACAGAGTTTTTGCTTTTACACCATGCACACAAATGAAAAACGAAAAACTAAGTACTCTGTATAATGTTGAATGCCCAGTTTTTTCTACCGTAACATGCCAAACGATTTGAAAACTTATACAAAATATCTTTACCTGCTGGTCTCCGCAGTCACATGAATGCTTATCATGAGGTTGCGCCACATGTTCCATGCCTTCAGAAACTTGAACACGTCGCTTTAGCTTCAGCGAGTATTCATGGAAAAGCTGTGCATGATAACAAAACACATGGTGTGGTAAGAGGTGATCCAATGCAAATTGTTGGGCTTCCTTGACAATTCCCTGAGCAATATCATCATGGCCACGTGCCCAGGTCAGCTTTTCGATTAGGTCAGTGAGGTTGTGCTGAACGGGCACATAATGCACCATGGGCGAGATGCGAGAGTAGAAATGCTCATAGTACTCAGATTCTTGCTTCAGCACCAAACCAGAGCCAGCCAGGAGGTAAGGAAGCCGGTAAGCAGCCACAGTGCCATCCACGTTGATTTGGTACTTGTACTGCGGTTACAAGCAAGTGAAATTTAGGAGACGCTGTTAGAGTGTGCAAGCAGCAGAACAGTTGAAAGAGCAAGACATCACAGTACAGTAGATTCCCAATAAATGAAAATCTGTTGAACGGAACTGCTGTTTAAATGAAACAAGTGCTTCTGACAAGATTGGTTTTGTACTTGTATTTCTGCACCCCTGGCCACCTCTCAGCAAATGGAGGTCCTGCTAAATAAAAACACATTTTCCTGGTCCCTTCAGGTTCCATTTAATGAGAATCTACTGTGTCTATGTTAAATATCTATTCATAAACAGCATCTCACCGAGTTTGGGCCATATGAATAAAAACGATAGCATCGCTGGTATCAGCATAGTGAGTGGTCCGTTTGGAATGTCGTTAAAGAAAATAAAAAAGGTAAAGGGCCTAAAATTGGCTCCTGTAGAATGTCACATGCAAGTTTTCGTTAGATGTAACATTACTAACACTAAATTATTTTGGTGTAGATTACTCCAGGTACCTTTTCTCCAGTTTTAAAACAATTCTTTTTCTTATGTTTTTTGGAAGTTTTGCTGAATCAAAAATTGTAATCTCAATAAAGGTTCATCAAAGAGAATAATCTGCAATTAAAATTGTCACGCAAATTAGATCTCAAGATAATGAAGTCAGTAAAATTGGCAATTTACTTCGTCATATTGAAATCTCAATGTGTATTGGTATAGAGAATTTTATGTCAAGCCTCGCTGCGGTGGTCTAGTGGCTAAGGTACTCGGCTGCTGACCCGCAGGTCGCGGGATCAAATCCCGGCTGCAGCGGCTGCATTTCCGATAGTGCAGAAATGTTGTAGGCCCATGTGCTCAGATTTGGGTGCACATTAAAGAACCCCAGGTGATCGAAATTTCCGGAGCCCTCCACTACGGCATCTCTCATAATCATATGGTGGTTTTGGGATGTTAAACCCCACATATCAATCAGTCGATCAATCATTTTATGTCAAGTACAATCATGGTGGGACTTTTTACACAAGAAGTGCAGTACAAATATTTGAATAATAGGGCAGCATAAAAAAAAAGCTAATTTCAGCAATGTTAAAAAAAAAATCTAGTTGGTTGAACCAAAGATACAGAGGCCAGGGTACAGATACAGGGTCCCGTTTCCAGTAGCCTGTTTCCAATGCCGTTTCCACGGGAAACAAGGAAGCCTTATTTCCCGTGGCCGTGTCTCAGTCCCAACACCAAAAGATATGCATGTACAACTCAAGGTGGCGGGGAAGCTACAGTGGTCTAAATAAGCTATCGCCCACCACGTTCTGCCACTGAGGCTCCATCCAAACCTTGGGAATAGCCCAAAATGGTGTGACAATGGTGTCACCATCAAACCCATAGCCAGCAAGTTGCCCTAGAAAGAAATTTTGATGGAGAGGGGTGTTTTATTAAAAATAAGTAATAAAAATAGGTGTTTTTACAAAAGTAGTCACGGTCTTCGGCAAGTGCCCCCTCCCAAAAAATTCTAGGGTGTGGGCTTGGTTATCAGGTTCACCAAATTTTACCACTCACTTCTTACTCAATAGGATGTATGTCTGGATGAGTTCGTTGAGGTTCATAATTATAACCCTTTGCGGTCCATCGTCAGGCCCTTAACAATGCGATACAGCCACAGCGGTCCGTGGCTGGGCCCTGCCGGACAAGCTTGTGCCCAGTTGATTCACGAGCACATTTTGTCACTACATTAAGTGCCATGTATAAACTGTAAAATACTAAGTAAACTTGTTATACTTGAGCTCAGAGTTCTTCAGCTTCAGACCAGAACGAATGGAAGGAGAGAAGAGGTATCGAACCGCATTTTAAAGCAGGACAATAGGGGGTAGCACAAGACAAAAAAGACTACAGGTACAGGACAGAGCATTGACTACAGTTCCTTATTCTATGGTTATCTTTGTTTGGCGCTTCTGTCTTTTGTGCAACTTTAAACAAGAACTCTTCACTGAGTTCAAAGAAAATGGAACCTTTGTTCATGCAAGCTACATTTTCTGTTTTGCAACATCGCTTACACATATGTTTAAGGAATCGAGCAGACACCGATACAGTGTTGCACATTATAGTAGTAGCCATTATGCACTGCTTCAACTGAAGCCTTCCAAGTTGGCCTTATCACAGAACATGTACATAATTTTATAAAGCTGGAAGTCATATGGCAGGTAACTGTGAAGCATAAAGAGATTGCAAAAAAAAACTAAACTCATTACAGCTGAACACTTACCAAAGAAAGCCATTTCAATAAAACACCTCCATATCTTACAATTATCGTGGTAAATTTATCCAGATAAGCTTTTTTTGGCTTTAGGATTATGAAAAGAGATGTCTTTCATTGTAAACAGGAAGGAGCAAAAACATGGGATGAAATGGCAGAACACAGACCACTGTGTTATGCTCATTTGTCCTGCCTTAGAGTGCTGTTTTTGACACATAATCATGAATCAAACAGCCCAAATGCATACGTCCTGTGGTCTGTGATATTCTGTAACAAGTGGCAACACCTTTTTTATTGCCCGAGCCATCCCAAGCCCTTGCAAGCAAGAGCTAGTTGCATTTGGTACCACTGCCTCTATGCCTACTTGTAGTTTTTATTTGACACATAGTGACAACAAAAACAACAAATCTGATGCTGATGCAAGTATACACTGTGTGAAATACGACACCACACTGGTTGTAGTGTGCACGCTGAATAATAAGATGACCCACTAGGGTACTCGCACGCATGCTAGTTCCCCTACTTCATAGGCAAAGAGAGTATTAATGTGATTTGTGCTGCGGACGCAACAGCTGAAGCAGGGATGGAAAGAGTGCAGACATCTGAGGTGGAAACAGTGCAGACATCTGAGGAGGAAAGAGTGCAGACATCTGAGTGCACGCACGCACGCGCGCGCGCGCGCGCACACACACACACACACACACACACACACACACACACACACACACACAAGTGCATGCATGTAGACTTTATTAGATGAGACGAAGCTGTTTTTCTCCAATCTAGAGAAATTAAGCGCATCATGTATTCACAAGCAAAGCTCTATTGCGCATTCGATTTATTCAGAACATGAAAACGCAACATAGGCACAATACTCAAAAACATGCCAAACCAAGAAAGCACTAACTCCCACCGAGCCCATACTTTATTATAATTGCTTATTTCAATGCTTGTGTTTAAAAGCTTCACACTGTCGAGCCACCAATTTACAGGAAACAAAGCAAGACTGCTACGATTGAAAAAGAAAGAGAGAAAAAATACTGGAAAATAGCCTAAAAAATCGGATAGCTATGCACTACACTTTTTGTAGCATAGAAAAGCTCTGTGAAAGACCAGTAAACGAAGACAGCAATAAAAAAATGGATGTAGCGAACTGATGTAAATTAAAGAAGAATACATTAGCATTAGCTGACATTGAGTGAATGAAAATAAAAACTCTTTTAAGAACTGCAAAAAAAAAAATGCAAAGCACATAATGAACGGGCAAGAACCTATAAAAAAAAAAAAAACTAGCAAGCTGCAAAAGAAACAGCTCTGACCGGCAACTTGCGTTCTAGCGTTACAAAGAAATATTTTTCTCTATTCAGTGTGAAGGCGTCAGTCTGAATAACATCGGTGGAGACGAAATCTTTCTCGCACACTTTAACATTTTAAATCGAAGGTAAATCCACCAGTGTCTGTTGCGGTATTGCACGAAACATTTCCCTTCGTCCTTTTCATCACTATCCCTCGTCAAACTAAACGACACCTTTTTGCTCGCAACTCTGTAGCTGGAGTAGAGATCCAGCACACAGCAAGTCTTTGGCGTCATTGCTTACGTACAACACATAGTTCTGACAGTCGTCAGTAGCACAAATTTAGAAAAATGTGAAAAAAAAAAAAAAAGGCTGAGACTACCAGAACTATCGGGTCCCCAGGCTCTCCTTAAGCAGCGCAGCTCTCCTCAAAGCCCCCTGTGCACTCCTGCCGCCACCACGTGACCACTGCGATGACATAGCAAGCTCTTCCCATAGCGTTACGGAGGAGTATTGTGACCAGAAAAGCATTGAAGGACTCTGGTAGTAGTATCTAGTGAAATGTGCAGATGCGAGTATGCTTGTTCATGTCATCCATACGGTGAACACCGCAATAATATTCAAGATCTCATGGAAGCTGATGTTTAATACATAATTTAGAAAAATATTAGAAAAATTTGAAAATAATAGAAATATTAGAAAATTCAGAAAAATTTGTCAACACCTAAATTATAATTAGCATTCATGGAATGGAGATTTCTCTAGTGAAGTACAGTGAACATAGTATTACCTTCTTGAATATTAAAGGGGTATTCACCTTAGATGTTTAGATGTGGTTGACTCCGCACATGATTTTCACACAATGTCTGTTCATAATGCAATGAACTTTCAATCATTTCAGGATTACCGGGGCATGGGAGAACTTGTGGAACAAAAGTCAGCTATCAAGTGGCAACGAAACTACAAAACCAAAGCAAGATGTCAATTGCGGTGTGAAGAATACAGGCTGTACAACCTGCCGCTTAGGTGAGGAAACAAATATGGAGCACTAAGGTTTGTCAGTCGAAATCGCATTCCTAAGGTTTCTGCATTACACAAATGCAAGCATTCTACTGCAGTTAACACCAAATACAAATGATAAAAACTTTATCTCCTGATAAAGCTTGCTTTGCGAATATATAAATAAAAGACTGGCTACGTATATGTGATTACAGGACTTCACTACTGAGCTGAATTACAAGGTCTATTACAGACAAAAAGAAGTAATACATAAATTACAAAACTATTAAAGATTTATTTGATTAAAGGCAATCAATGACATGTAATGAACAATGTACAATGAATTTTTTTTCGCTGGAAAAAAGGGTTGATGATTCCAAGAAGCATAAAATGAGCAAAACAACACAAGCTTGGGTATACTGCTTGCCCTTGTCTGGTTTCATGCATTGTAGTCTCCTTCAAGATTATGTACAAGTGTGAGCTGTACATACCTATTATGTCATATAAATTCTGCATAGATAATAAGCTCATATAACCATTATGTAGCCACAAAACATTATTACTACTTAGTACAGAGCACTTCCGCTCTAATACTAGGTAGACCCTTCAGAGCTCGAAACAAGAGCTTCTTTGAAAGTCAATAAAAAGCTGCTGAAAGAGTCAGTCACAATAAATTCTGTGAATGGTCTTCATGAAGAAAACATTACAAATACTGTGAACAGCTGAAGAAAATAAGCCTAAAACTTTTGCCACAACACATCCAAAAACAAACAAAACTTGTAAATGTGACGTGTACAAACCTCAAAAAAATCAAAGAAGGAAACGTGGCTGGTCTGGGGACCATAGATGTCCATCTTGTCCCGAAAAAAGAAAAAATTTGTGAGAGAAGCATTCAGTAGGTCTGGGTGGCGGCGCGACAGAGCCACAAGGTCAAGGCGTTCAGGGCAGCTGTCACGTCCTCGCCAAAACCCACATGGGCGCTTTTCTTTCCAAGCTGGCCCACTGTTCCCTTGCACAGAGAGAACATCTAAGGTCACCCTGCACAGAATACATCAGAAAGATATGCAGATATGTTTTATCCGATGTTGTATTGCTTGCCTTGATGTTCATGAATTCCTGTACTGAAGAATTGTATTAACCAACAATTATTCATTCTCTGCAAAAATTTGTATTGATGTCCCCGCCACCCTATGTAATGCCTCTAGTGGGCCCTTAGGGTACTTGAATAAATAAACAAAAAGACTGAACAGGTGGTTTAAAAAAGCTTCTAAATTAACCTCATAATTTTTTTACAAATGCAAATGTGTGAATCACATATATCACAACAATCTTTGTTTTCAAATAATGTGGTGCTACATGCCTAGAGGAAGCTCCAATTTTTTGCGAGCATTATATGTGTTCAAAATGTGTGCATTACATTCCGTTGGCATCACTGAGTCCAATTAGCGGTGTGGTGCTCAATGCAAGTGTTTCTTCTGTTCTACTGATACAACCCTTAGCTTTTTTCTCTACTTCATGGAGTTGGCAAGAGTACATTAAACCCCTTACAGAGAGGGCAGTTAATGCCAGCAAGAATCCATGGCAGCCTCTCTTGTGCCGCCACCAAGGCTTGGTGGCGGCACGAGAGAGGCGAATGGCTCTCTTTGGCTGGTGGCGGTTGGCGCGAACGGTTGTCTCTAGTGGCGGGACCCCGGTGCATGACACCGCGGGTTGCGCGCTGGGGGTGCACCGCGGGTTGCGCGCTGAGGGCCCTTGTCGTAAGCCAAGCATTAGCAAAGCCGCTTTGAGTGTGTTCTTGTGTTTGTTTTGTCATGTTCAGAGTGATCTAATATTGCCACGCTGGGTTAGTGGTCGAAGAGGAGAGCGAAGAAGTGAATGGCTGCTGTGGCTTAGTAAACAGTTGTCCACTTCGAGTCCCTGTCTATCACTTCCTCTCGCGACAGACTGGTGGAAGTGCTGGGTACTGTACTGCAATGTCTTATGCCTGCTGGTTCTGAACCAGAAGCAACCACTGCCAGTGCACCAGGGTCTGCTGATATCCATCGAAGCAGCCGCCGCCTTCAAGGACTACCACCACAGTACGGCCCTTTGACAAGTTCTGGGAAGACAGTGTTTGCCACGTCCGCAACCCAAACTGAGCATGACCCATTCGCTAGCGTGCCCTGTGTCATCAACACACCCAACCCATTCCACGACGATGCAGGTGAGGATGTCGAAGACTGGCTTGACCATTTCGACCGGGTCGCTGCCATCAACGACTGGGACAATCGCCGTAAGTTGAAGAACGTGTACATCTCCCTCTTAGACGCGGCAAGAGTGTGGTACGAGAACCACGAGACTTCATTCACAAGTTGGCAGGAATTCCATCGGCAGCTTCGCGAGGCGTTCAGTAACCCCGAACGGAAAGAGAGGGCGGAGCAGGTACTTTCTTCGCGCTTTCAAATGCCGAACGAGAGCGTCGCCATGTTTGTCGAGGAGATGTCGCAATGGTTTCGACGTGCTGATCCCCACATGCCAGAAGACAAAAAGGTGCGCCTGCTAATGCGAGGCGTAAAAGAGCAACTTTTCGCGGGCCTTGTGCGCAACCCTCCTACAACTGTGTCGGAGTTCATATGTGAGGCCACAATTATGGAGCGCATGCTTCGGCAGCGATTGTCGTAGTATGAGCGTCAGACGGCCATGTCCGCTGCGTGCTCGCTTGTACCAGGAGGTGATAACAGGGAGGTCCTCACCGAACTCATACGGCAGGTTGTATGCGAAGAACTTCGGAAATCTCATGCAGCATCTCCTCCCAGTAGCGCTTCTCTTACGGACGTTGTTCGTAACGAAATCAGGCAGTTCGTTCATTCCTCCCCACCATCGCAAGTCGAACTTCCCACACTTTCCTACGCGGATGCCCTACGCGTTTCTACGCCATCTACGGCACATTTCGCTCATCCATCTGCTGGGACCACCAGACGCTTTCCAAGTCCAGCCTATCGCCACCTTCTCAGGCCGATTTTCGTCCTGGCCCGCGGAAGTCCATCGTCTGGCGTGCACCCGACAATCGTCCCTTGTGCTACCATTGTGGTGAAGTTGGACACATGTACCGCGACTGTTACTACCGACGAATAGGCCTACGCGGATTCCACCCAGATGCCCGTTGTCCACGCTATGGTGAGCGCCCGCAAGAAATTGCGGACTACTTGGAAGGTAGTCATCACGACAGTCACGGTCACCATCACCCCGTCCGTCCGCATCAACGCACTGCACCCGACCCGCCTTTGGGTCCCCTGGTGTTAGTGGCGCAAGCCCACGCCGGAGAAACTGAAAACGGCGACCTCCGGAGCTGAGGCCGCTGTCACGCGAACCCACAAATAGCCTCTGCCGCAGCCTTACAACGTACCGTTAAAGCCTGTTTCGGAAACCGCCAACAGAACGTCCGGTGCCATTACCGTTTCCGTCAACTGTTATCCGGTGACTGCGCTTGTCGACACGGGAGCCGATTACTCGGTGATGAGTGCTTGATTGGCCACCCGTCTACACAAGGTGCTGACCACGTGGGACGGCCCTCAACTAATCACCGCTGGAGGACACCTCGTATCCCCTATAGGAAGGTGCACCGCCAGGCTTGAAATTTGTGCGTCGGCTTTTGTGGAGTCATTCCTTGTACTGCCCAATTGTTCTTGGCCGGTCATTTTGGGCATGGGTTTTCTGCAAGAGTACGGAGCGATAATTAATCTGCGTGATTCGTACGTCAGTTTTGCTGACGGTGTTTCTCCAGATTCCGACATCGAGAACGAACATCGTGGCGCCGCCTTACGCGTAGTGGATGATTGCGACACGTTGCCACCTTGCAGTAGTATCTTCGTGCTTGTTGAGTGTCCACGGGAGCACTCAATTACGGGCATCACCGAAAGTAACCTGACGTTATTGCTTGATCGGGAAGTCGCCATTGCTCAAAGTCTCGTTCAACGCCGAAATGGCCAGACTACGCTTTTCGTTACGAACTTCAGTGGCGAATACAGGCATTTTGCGAAACGCACAACCATAGCTTACTTGGATGCATTGGATGATTTGGACGCCTTCCCTTTGATTACGACGATCTCGACTGAGAATAGCTGCGATACTGACGTGACTAGTCGCCTCAACGTCAATCGCCAGTTAGAAGAACCCAAGAGGGCAAAGCTCCTCAGTCTCCTCTCATCCTTTAGTGACAGTTTTGCCACTGCGTTGAAAATTCGGCGGACCCTTCTAATGAAGCACAGGATTATCACTGAGCCGAACGTCCAACCCGTGCGCCAACATGATTACCGCGTGTCGCAGAAGGAGCAGGATGCCATCCGTCATCAAGTGAAACAAATGCTCGACGACGATGTAATTCAAACATCGACTAGTCCTTGGGCGTCACCAGTTGTTCTGGTTAAAAAGAAAGATGGTTCATTACGATTCTGTGTCGACTACCGCAAACTGAACAAGATAACGAAAAAAGATGTATATCCTCTTCCTCGCATTGATGACTCATTGGATCGCCTACGACACGCCTGTTACTTCTCTTCCATGGATCTCCGTAGCGGATATTGGCAGATTGAAGTAGATGAACGGGACTGAGAAATAACAGCATTTATTACACCTGATGGTCTCTATGAATTTAAAGTTCTCCCTTTTGGCCTGTGCTCCGCTCCAGCCACATTCCAACGAATGATGGACACAGTTTTATGTGAACTGAAGTGGCACTCTTGTTTAGTGTATTTAGACGACGTAGTCGTTTTTTCTACTTTTGAAGAGCACATTGAGTGGCTTGAGGCAGTTCTTCTGGCTATTCGCACTGCCGGCCTCTCTCTGAAACCAGAAAAGTGTTATTTTGGATATGATAAACTCAAATTTTTTGGCCACATTGTCAGCAGCAGTGGTGTTCGCCCCGACCATGAGAAAGCTATGGCAGTTGCTTTATTCCCGATACCGAGAACAAAGCATGATGTACGCCGCTTTCTGGGCCTTTGTGCTTATTACCGCCGCCTCGTACCGAATTTTTCGAAAATCGCCGACCCTCTACAACAACTCGTCAAGGACGACGTCGCCTTCATCTGAGGTCCCAAACAATCCGACGCTTTCCGCGACCTTAAACAACGCCTACAAACGCCGTCGATCTTTGGTCACTCCGACACAGAAACAGACACAGAAGTCCGCACTGACGCGAGTGACCTAGGCCTCGGAGCTACTCTCGTGCAATATCAAGATGGCGTGGAACGCATCATCGCCTACGTTGGCCGCACGTTGTCATCTGCAGGCGAGAACTACTCGACGACTGAAAAAGAACGTCTAGCGGTTATATGAGCCATTATGAAATTCAGGCCCTACTTGTACGGACGCCCCTTCCAAATCGTCAGTGACAACCACTCTCCCTGCTGGCTAGCGAATCTGAAAGATCCTTCGGGCCGTCTCGCAAGATGGAGCCTTCGGTTACAGGAATTCGATATAACGATGGTTCACAAGTCTGGCCAGAAACACACCGACGCTGAATGTCTTTCCCGCGCACCCGTGGAGATTGCTGCAGAAGACAAGGATGAAGACTTCAGTTGCCTTGCTTTTCTCGCATCATTAAACATGGCTGAGCAGCAACGCGAAGACTCATAACTGCAACCACTGATCGAATACCTTGAGGGACGTCGCCCACAACCACCACGTCAGTTCGCGCGCGATTTGTCATCTTTCTGTCTACGCCAAGACATCCTCTACAAGTGCAACTTTCATCCAACGAAAACTGTTTACCTGCTCGTCGTTCCTGCTGCTCTCCGCGATGATATTTTGCGTGCTTGTCACGACGAGCCATCGTCAGGGCATCTTGGCTTCGCCCGTACTCTGGCACGAATCAAGGACAAATACTACTAGCGGAAACTTACGAAAACCGTCCGGCAGTACGTCAAGACATGCACATCCTGCCAGCGCCGCAAAAATCCAACGACGAAACCAGCCGGTCTGCTTCAGCCTTTGCAGCCACCTCACGCACCTTTTGAAAAGGTCGGGATGGATTTACTCGGCCCATTTCCGAAGTCTGCGGCTGGTAACCGCTGGATTGTGGTTGCCACTGACTACTTGACTAGATACTGCGAAACACAAGCCGCCCAGCGAGCAACTGCTTCCGATGTGGCTGACTTTTTTATCAAGAACATCGTTCTCCGCCACGGCGCTCCCGCTGTCGTCATCACAGATCGTAGTACTGCCTTTATGGCACAGTTGCTTCGAGAGATCCTGTTGCTGAGCGGCAGGACGCACCGAACAGCAACTGCGTACCACCCGCAGACTAACGGGTTAACCGAACACCTTAACAAAACGATTGCAGATATGCTTTCGATGTATGTCGCCAAGGATCAGAAGAATTGGGACGAAATCCTCCCGTATATAACATTTGCCTACAATACGGCTCTGCAGGAAACCACCGGCTTTGCTCCTTTTCGTCTGGTTTACGGCCGCAACGTCACCACAATGCTTGACACCATGCTGCAACCAACTCTGCCGCACATGATTACCCCCGACGCAGATGTATTCGTTCAGCGTGCCGAAGACGCCCGGCAGCTAGCACGCTTTCGCATTTTATCGCGGCAAAATCAAGATGCTCGATGGTACAACATACACCACAGAGCAGTAATATACGAACCCGGTGACCTAGTCTGGGTTTGAACTCCTACACGACAACGTGGAGGCTTGGAAAAATTGTTATGTCGGTACTTCGAACCCTGCCAAGTTCTTCATCGCATCGGGGAAGTTAACTACAAAGTTGTCCCAGCAGACACATCGCACCATTCTCGTAGACCACGTTTCTCGGATGTGGTTCACGTCTCCAGGATGAAGCATTACTATTCGCGTTGACTGCAAGTCAAGAACTTTGTGATGTGACACTTGTCTTCAAGACAATTGTACATTTCTTTCTCGCTTCTTTTTTTTTCCAATCTCTTTTTTTCTTCTCAATGGACACAGACATTTTTTACTACCTTTCATTGTTTTTCGGAGCCGCAGCATTTATGCGATGCTTCCTCTTTTTTTTTTTTCTTTGGGGAGAGGGTAATGCCACGCTGGGTTAGTGGTAGAAGAGGTGAGCGAAGAAGTGAATGGCTGCTGTGGTTTAGTAAACAGTCGTCCACTTCGAGTCCCTGTCTATCGTTTCCTCTCGCGACAATATTGTGTAAGGTTGTTCAGCGTGTTGATCACGATTGATGTATATTAATTCAGCTGACGATATCGTCGATCTTAAAGTAGTTAAATAAATGTGTATTGTTTGATTCATTCCGACCGTGTCTACTGTGTCCGTGCGTTCCAAGAGCGTGGCGCTCGCCACTTCAAGACACCACAATTGCAAATAATATTTTTTAATCAGTCTTACAACTTTTACCAGTTAATAAAGAATTACATACCATTCAATTCTGTTTAAAAGCTATAATACTAGGCCTCAAAGTCAGAGGTATAGGCATGAAGTACTGGAGGGACATGACTCCCGACCCCATAAAGGGGTCCCTAAGTGTGTGTGTATTTTTTTTGAAGTCCCAAAAACAGTGAGGTCACAACACCACCAAATCATTCACTGCCTATATTTTCAGTGACACCCCTAGCTTCAAAGGAGCTACAAGCAATAGAATGTTACTTCCTTCTTACCACTGCTTTCCCTTCTCAAATTCTTCAATAGATTATCTTGTTCATAGCGGATCTGTAGTCGAGACTAAGCTCCACCTCCTGCAGCAGTTCACCATCATGAGGTTGCACTCTACACCACCAGGTGTCGTGAAAATGCCATTTGCTGGCCACTCCAAGTTTTTTCTCCAGCCGATAATCTCCGGAAAGTTAGAGGACAAACTACACCTCTCTTACAATAATCACCACTAAGCTTAAGTAATGAAATTATGGTGATTGTCTTCCAGTACGAAGCAACTAATACAAACTTGTGCATCCTGGCTTCAATTGAATACCGAGAATGCGATGCTCAGTGTACTGATACGCTGAAGCCCCTCGCTGGTCACTTTTTACAGGCACATGCATCTTGCCATGTTGAGATACTTGCAGCGCACAATGCAGCAAGGACTATTATGATGTTGAAGAAAAAAAAAGCTTCAAGTCAACATTAGAAATAATAATGACAATAATATCTGCGATTTTATGTGCTAAAACCACAATATCATAATAGGCATGCAGTAGTGAAGGGCTTTTTACATAAGAAATCTTAGAATTCTTACCTGCCCATCATTTCGAGAGATGATTCTGTAATGTCATAGGTCGGCATGACAATATCTGTGCTGCTTTTTGAGCCACACCATGAAAAAAATGGAATGTGGACTCCGGAGTGGCTTCTTTGCTCAAGTGGCCAGTCACCAAGGTTTACAAGCATTTCAATATCCGGAAGACGCACCTAAATAAATTTGCAATAGCTCTTACTTAAGTCAGATCACTTTTTTCGGTTCTAGTGATGATTAAAAGAAAAAGAATCAAGTAGCAATTTATTTCAAGGATTTTCAGTGCCAAGAACTACAAAACAAGAAAAAGCATTTACCTTTCTAGCAAGGGACAACAGTATCTGATCCATGAACATGTTGAAGCCAACATGTTGCCCATAGCACTTTCGGTAAACCTTAAGAAACAAAAAAAAAAAAAAAAAAGTCTGCAAATGCACAGAGCACAAAGAGAGGGAGAAAATGTACCGTTTCCAGTAAGCCAACAAATCGAGTGTATAAGTTAGTTGTTTTCAATATGTTCTGTATGATAAGCCAACCCCTGAAATTATTTTGTAACTTTGTTTCCTGCTGTACATTTATGTATGTTATAGTAGCATGGATCCATACTAGCACTCTGGTAAGAATCGAGATGTTTGTAACATGCTTTTTTCTGACTGTACTTTATTTATTAAATTTCAATTCAACTAATGACAAGCAACATTAGGGAGACATAGCATGATGGTTATGTGAATATAGTCCATTAGTCACCGTAAAGGATAATTTTCTCAAACATTCAATTTTACAGTGGCACGAACGTAATGTTCACAAAGAACAATATAATAGCTATGAAAGGCAGCCTCAGCGAAGTACAGCACCTAACCTTCTTTGTATACAGGGTGCCCCAACAAACTCAACCCACATTTCAAAAATATGCCGACACACTTGATCACAACATGATCAAATGCATGTTGCTGAATATTGCGTGAAATAAAACACAATTTCTACCTTCTTCCTAATTAGACAAGCTTAATTAAGTAACTGTTAAAATAATAAAGTTGGGTAGAAAATTCCAGTTAAAATGGTATATTGGTTTGCAAAGCATGCAATTAGTTTTTAAATTTATTAAGTATTATTTTTCTTTATGCTGAATAAAAACATTTATAAAACTGACAAAACCCTGATTTTATATGATACAACACTCATTTATATATTTCCTGAGACATTAAACTGAACAATTCTTTAACCTGGAATACAACTGTGCAAAACCTTGGCAACCTGAGACAAGTCATCTATTTGTAAGGTGAATCAAAGTAAAACACTGACCTGGTTTTTAACAACAGCATAATGGCAAAAACTAACAGAACCAGGGCGGTCAAATCGACGAAGGGCTTCACGAAGCATCTTCTTCATGTCTATCTCTTCAAACCACGCAAGATCCTTTAGGATCTGAGGATCCACTACTGGACATTTTGTTTGCAACAGCCACTTGTCAAAAGAAACAGGACAACTGCAAGCATCATGGTGGAGAGGTCCTACAAAATAATTTTGGACTGTAAGTATTTATTAACACAAAAACATGACATACTACTTATCATGCTAGTTGAATTAAGAAGTAGAGAAAGCAAATACTGATTGAAAAACCTGGTTAAGAAAAAAATAAAATTTCAGTGATGATGAAACCGATGTCACTTGAGTGCTGTGTATCACACTTTTGTGATAGTGAAGAACTTTCTGCCGGTAAAAAAATCCACTGAAAGCTATACCTAAACAACTATGCATGCCAAAAATCATTGTTGCAGCTAACATGTTATAAGCATAAATCAGCAAACTCAAACTCGAATCGTCCTATGAGTATGAGTCTGAGTAAGTCCAAGTGAGTAATAATTTGGCGAGTTTGACATATCTCAACGCACCAGTGTTCATGTGCCACCTTAATATTTATAGGCACGCATCACTGACCAGAGGGTGCAATAGAGCTCTTATTGGCTGTCTCGGCATTGACAGCATCAGCCACAAGGGACACCAAGAAACGAAACGCTCACTGAACACATTGACGTACTGGAGCGCCTCTTTTGGGTGCTTCCTAGGTGCGTTCGTAGTCACCTCAGGTGTGTTGTTAATATGCGTGACCCCCTCCTCCCCACATAAATATAAATGCATATATGCACTGGCCAGCTCGATTTTGCTGCAACTGCATGTTAGGCTGTGTGTTCTGGAACTACTGTCAAATCTTCAAAACTGCATTGCCAGGTGCCTATCGATCAGAAGCATGAGATCAGAAGCAATTTGGTGGAGGGGTATGCCACACGGGAAGCTCTCGATAAAGATATATCGTGCCAGTCGCGTATTTCATAACAAATGTTCTAACTAGATTAAAACCACATATGACTAGTATTAGATGGTATAAGATCGAAAGACATATCGCAGAACACCAATAATGTGACATATCGGTATTAAAAAGCATTGACACCATGATAGAAAAAGCTAATTTTACACTGACCCACGAGTTGACTCACTCACGCCCAGGTCAAACAGTACGCGTTCGGTGCTCTAACCACTGAGCTACCACAGCGGCCTTCAGGTCAAACAGTCAGCCTGAGTAATTTACAGGTGATTTTGAGTACAAGTGGGTCCGGTTGAGAACATTTTTGATGAGAATGATCAGTCCTCAGAGCAAGATATATTTTTTGAGTGAGTGAATATGAGTGAGCTCCAATTTTTTTTTTTTGACCTATGGTTACAAGTAACAGCAATACTAGTAATGCACTACTTCTTTTCAGGTGGCTTTGCAATGCAATACATTAGGGCATTTGCATTTGATTGCAGATGCCCTAATGTAATATATAATCAATATGAGTTCAAACAATTGCGATCGATCATGGCATACACCTGCCCAATATCACAAGGTCGTGAGTGCTCAAATGTTGATGTTGAGAGCACAAATGACCACCTATCAAAATGTCAGCCAGCCTGTCTGAGGCACTTATTCATACCTCCAGAGCCCATTGTGTTTCTATTCATTGGTCCCCAGATGTACTTTGGACTTTAATGATGAAAAGAAAAGAGAAGCTGTAGGAATTAAGGCGTTTCACTCGTGATAATACCATTCCATATAGGGCGACCAGGGAAATATCTGTTGACTTATTACAATTACCCACTTGCCTTATAGCAAAATTTTGACTTTTTTGCCTACTTCACATTACCGATAAGGGAAACGATAAAAGGATGTCATTAAAAAATTATTTTGTTGTGTATATTTCAAGGCAATTGCATGTTTTTCATTTTACTTTAACTGAATTGTGCTTAAAGCATAATCCAAATCATTCAGCATAAGAGGGTTCTATAGAACTGCATTGGCCAAGAGCTTAGCAGCATCCCTGCATTCAACAAGTGATGTCCAAATCCATAGCCCTCTGACAGCTCTGCCCAATTTACTCCAACAAATCACAGAAGCTGTGCTTTTGAAGGCTGCACGCACTGGAAGCAATTTGGCAGCCAGCAACACATCAAAGACACCATGTCTAGGCCACTCTAGTTGCCTTCTTCGATTATTTATCCGGACTGCCCAAGGTGTGCTTCAGTCTATGAGCACCTGGTCAACTCCTCGGGTTTGGCTAATTATACATAGGTCCAACAATTTCTGTGGAAGTTACCGAGTCTACAGTCACGTATGAGACAGCATTCCCTAGCTCACTTGCACTTTCAGTAGATCAAGTTTAACCGCACGAAAAAAATTTGCACTGGAGCATGCTAATGAAAGAATGAAAAACACTGAATTTATTTCAATCTCGCCGCACTATTGACAACTATACCTTTGATCAAAACTGGCGCCTCCGTAAGGGGAGATCCATTGAAGCTGACCTCCACTTGTGCTTCAGGACAACTTCTAAAGAGTTTGTAACGAACAATGAAAAGTCCGTCTCTTCGATTCAGGACCTGTGTCCAAATGCTGCAGTGGCTGTTGGTTCCCGTGATAGACACGCTCAGATTCGTCGAGGTTGCTGCAGTAAAGCTACAACAAAAGTACGCTGCGTGAGCTCGTTTCAGAAAGGGAAGCCACTCGCAAAGCGCGCTTTCGTTCTATGATCTCGACTTACTTGTTGCCGCTAGCGTCGACGACGAGTACAAAGAAGTATCTGGCTGGAAGGTTGAAGTCTCCTCGAAGGCCAGGGCCATACAAGCGCGCCGACACTTGAGGCTGCGGCCGGCCGTTGGGCCAACTACTTTCACCGCACGCATTCACGGGGCACTTGTCTTCAGCAGCGACAACGGCTGCTAGCAGCAAGGCAACGCAAAGTCGTCCCGCAAGCAGCATTCTGCTTTTCGGAAACATCTGAGCAGCCCGAATCGTGTCTTTCACCAGTGCATAGTTACAACTTGGCGTGGTCTCACCTAGACGGGTTTATCAAAACGCCACGACAGCATGCATAATCACACCGGATCGCTTTCCCGCAGCGGCTAGCAGTATAGTAGTTCCGAAAGGGATCGCGCGCACTTTCGGCCAGCGATCCTTTCCACTCGCCTCTTCCGAGTCTCGCCGACACCGTACGAAGGTACTACGGATGACCCGCGGCCGCCGACGTACTAATCCTCTCCTACGAGTCGTCTTTTTTTTTTTATTTTATTGAGTCACTAAGCGAGCATTTTAGTGTTTCATCTGGCATGTGCCCCCCCCCCCAAAAAACACATTTTTAGTAACCGTGGGACGTATACACTAAAAGAGCTTGTTGCCTCACGAATTCTATGCCGCAAAAAATTTTTAGGAATCCGTCCGGCATGAGGGGAGTTACAAAGAGTTGTCGCACGTTGCAATCGCATTCTCTGAAGCCCCTAAAGCGAAATTTCAGGGGCTTTAGTCGCTTTAGTTCTCTCTTCTCTCGTCCCGGCGAAAGCGCTGAAGGCTATGCAGAGATAAAAGTTACTGTATATGCTACCTTTAGGTACCATATACAGTAATTCTATGCAGGGATAGATACAGTAACTTGAAGCATAAAGAAATGGCAGGAGCAAAAAAAAAAAAAAAAGTCACGCGCGTTTAAGACCTTGAGCCCCTTCGAATACGCAACTTTTCCCGTGTGATCGCGCGCGCACGTGTGGACAAGTCGCGGCCTCCCAGGGCGATCTCTGCAACGACCGAGCACGCCATGTTAAAATAAGCCAATGGCTGACAGATGGCCTTCTACGCGCAATTTTCGAGCGTCTTCCGTGATTCTCGAGAGAAGAGAAAGCAATATTTAGCTGATTTTGCTATTTATTGTGAATTCCAGACCGCGTGCTGCGCTGTACTATTTGGCTCGCGTGTTCTCGGAAGCCTCTACTACCGATCGGCAGCGTTTTCTGACCACGATTAAAAAGTGTTGCAGAGCCCCTTAATTTTTGTGCTTGCGAGCTTCTGCTACCGCACTTATTTTATCTGAAGTTGGTGCGGGCGGCCCCATGCACTCGCTCCGGAAACGGGGAACAGACGCTTGCATGGTTTCTTGTCGGCAAGGGTGCAGCCGAAAGTACTTTTAGTATTTTCAGTGGTGGGAAGGTTGAATTGCGCTCCACACCAAGAATTGCCACCTTTACTGGAAAAAAAAAGAAGAAAAAAGGCCACGGCGGGAATATAGGCGGATAAGGAGGGGTCAAGTTAATACTGAACAATAGATAACGTATCATTGCTTTCCTTATGTAAAATAAATTTTATGTACAAGTACACAAAAATGCAACACTCGATCTAACCAACAAGCCTAATTGGCATTGAAATAACTCAGATTGGAATATGATATTGTAATCAATGTAAATGAGCTAGGTATTGGTTATTGCTCTAAATGAGCTGCACTGAAAAGGGCCAGGGTGATTCCACGAGAGATTGAGATGGGTTCTAAAGTTGATATTTTAGATTTGATTGAGTATTTTATATTTTGTGCACATACCACTGAGTAGCCCGAAAGTGAACTTAGTTTTTTTAATAACTGCACAATTTAGGAGAAAAAAAACGTCGAATTTATTCTATACGGAGAGACCAATTTCATCCTTTGCCATTCTCCAAAGTTAATGACAGTATAATAACACAAATATTAATGGTACATAGACAATATTTTTTAAAATAAATGTATGTGTAATAAAGAGTATAGCACGATTGTTTGAAGCCTGCTGGCTGAAACAAACTGGTTTTTAGAAGCTCAAGCCCACTTTTTTTAGCCCGCTTTGTCATGTGTTTATTGACTTTGCGCATTCTTGAAAAGCTGGGACTTGTACCCGTAATATTCTCGCTGCGAATAAAATAATGCAACATGATTTTTCATATTATTTTTCTATGATCTTCAAGGGTTTTTTTGTGGGATATTAAGAAAAATTGAAGATGCGGTACAGCAATGGTATTAGCAGGCAATATTGTAAACATTATGTTGTAATAGGTCACCAAGTTATGAAACACTCACTGGTTTACCTTAGGAAGAAAAAATCTCAAATATAGCAACTTTAGCAAAATGTTGCCAGTTCAGACATTTTAAAAAAAACATTTGCTTCAGCCAGCAGGCTTCAAACAATGGTGCTTTACTCTTGATTACACATACATTTATTTAAAAAAATAACATATTTGTAACATTAATATTTGTGCTTTTATATCTTCATTACCTTTTGAAAATGGCAAGGGACGAAATAGATCCCTCCGTACAGAATAAGTTTGACATCTTTTTTTTCTCCTAAATTATGCAGTTCATAGAAAAAACGAAGTTCACTTTTATCAACTTTCGGATCCGTGTCGATCTCTCGTGGAATCACCCACCAGTGACATTAGAAACATTGTATGCCCCAAAAATATAGGATGTTCACCTATACATACACGTGCAATATTATTCTTTATTCTGATGGTCATTATTACTTGAAGGGATCTTAAAAAGTGATTGAGTAATAGCATAAGAGTATTCTTGACTGATGGTAAATATTTATTACGTAGGTATAGTTGTTGAACAGGGCACTTACAAATCACAACAGAAAATGAATGAGTGCAATATTATGACGAAAGACTGGCTGATGGCAGTCTCAAGTGCAGACCAGCGAGTGGCTCGCCATCAAAAAAACTGAAACCGGACAGGTGGCTACCCCATACCAACCTCCCTTCTGACTAAGCCAATGCCCATTGATCTCATATCATGCACATATGACACCTGCACCCCCCGCTTCCTGCACTCTTGATTAAAAAAATACTTACTTCAGCCCAACAGTCCACTCCTTGCAAACTGCTTCACCTAATACCAACCTGATCTTTTCTTTTTTTTTTTCTGGTCGAAGCGCCTCAGTCACAAGGAGACAAAGTGACAAATATTTGTGCCAATTTCTGTGCACTCTACATCCAAATGCTGTCCCAAAACAACCAAGCAAAGCAGCCAAAACTCCTGCTTTTGTATTCCATGCGTGCACCACAAAACACGATGCACAATTAACATAAAAATAGTGAATGTACCCAAGCAACGCTAATATTAACTTGGACTTTACCAACAAGATTGGAACACTGCAACAATACTTTACCCTCCCTTTCCCAATGAGAACGCTATGCACACCTATGATGGCATTAACTGTCCTAAGCCTTTGTAGGCTACAAGCAATGCTAATACAAACTTGGACTTCACCAACAAGATTGGAACACTGCAACAATACTTTACCCTCCCTTTCCCAATGAGAACGCTACGCACACCTATGATGGCATTAACTGCCGTAAGCCTTTGTAGGCTACAAGCAATGCTAATACAAACTTGGACTTCACCAACAAGGGTGCGACACCACAACAATACTTTACCCTCCCTCTCCCATTGAGAACGCTACACACACCTATGATGGCGTTAACTGTCTTAAGCCTTCGTAGGCTATTAGTGACCACACATACAAACTCACAGATACTTTTCAAATAGAATTTATATATGTCTTAAGCTCCGCTGTCCACCAATATTTTGTCAGCATAAGATAGAACATGGAATAACATTAATAATACCTGCTGTTATACGTCCCAAACTATTGGTATGATTATGAGATACACCGTAGTATGGGGCTCCAGAAATTTTGACCATTTCATGTTCTTTAAGGGGAGATGCGAGCCGGAAAACGTGAGTTTTTCCAAAGCTATATATTTTTCATTTTCATTTGCTTTCACAACTTTGGTTTCTCTACTTTCACAACAAAAAAATTGAAGATTGTAAATAAATTATAATTAGGTTAAAATTTATTTTAAATGGTTATTAAAAACTAAAATGGTCTCATTATCTAGAGTCACCTGGAAATTGTCACCTGGGTGCTTACCACTGCATTTTGCATGAGAAGTTTACCAAAGTCACATGCTCAAAATAACAATAATTACCAAGCTTTCATGATGGAAGAAATCATTTTAAAAAACATATCTTTGCCCATAGACAAGCTCTGACTTATACGTTCAAAATGCGTTTTTCTCAAGATCCATTTTTGGACAGCTTCTTGAGTTTAAACATCATGTTTTTGGTATTTTCGATACCCAGATCAGGATGAAATTTTATAGATATTCTTTAAAAGGTGAATCATAATAAACAAATTTGGCAGGACACATCATACAGATAATTCAGGACCACCTTGCATGAAGCTGCATTAATAATTTTAGATCAAGATACGAAGCTTCAGTGCAGAATTCCGAGATAGTAAAAGGCACTACTACCATGACTGATTTTTACTTTGTAGGCATTTTCTTGGCCTTGAATCATCATTTTTTTCCACATCTAGCTCTGTGACTATACCGTGACATGGCATTCATAAATCTATGTTCCGTTACATGCCACAACCTTTTTCAAGAATTCAGTGCCATCGTCTTATGTTTTCTAATCAATGCAACAATACTTTTGGTGCAACTTTTGCTCAAAAGTCAGGAATCAGGCACTATACTGAAACAAACATAATAAAAAATGTCCAAATATTAAGTAAGAATATGGTGAACAGATGAAGTGCCTGTGATATTCCAACAATCCCTCATTTCTCACTAAGCACAAAAAGAATGCACATGCATTTGGTCTTTTAGTATTTGCACTAGGTGGGAGGTGTCCTGATCTTGCATCATTCTTTTATTTATTCATGGCCTTTCCGAGATGCAGCACTCGTTTGAATCTTCTTTCTAAATGGTGTCGTTTTTAATTTAATGAATTTAATTTAATGAATTTTTTAATCACTCCTTCCTAATTTCACAAAAGAATTGATTGTGCTTTTTTGTTGTATATATTTAAACCTTGGCTTCAACAAATTAAACACTACAAAATGGGTTGCATTGAGATACATGCAAGAAATTGTAAACGTGTGGTGTTTAATTTGAAGGTGGCACTTTTCCACTTTTTTGCATTTAGAATGTAAGTGCATGGGCTGCATGATATGCCAGGTGGCAACAAAAGAGTGTTCCCAACTCGCTGTCTTGCCTAAAAGTGGCTTTGGCTAACACACCCAAGAATTAGATTCACAGAAATATCCAACAAAGTAGACAAGTGAGCACCTTCTGTTGTAGCTCGATCGGTAGAGCATGGCACACGTAATTTGAACATTGTGGTTTCAGGCCCTACCAACAGAAGACGTGTTTGTTTCATACACTTTAATTCATTCCGATTTATATCATAACTACTACACAACAGTTAAAAACAACACATAACGTCTTCCAAGCAGTTCACCTTCTGCTAGGAGCGGACAGCCTTCTTTTGAGTGGAGAAAGAGCAGTGCTACCACACCCTCTCATAGGCACTTTGCATAAGGGCTGCCTGTACTTCGTGGACAGACAATGTATATATATTACAGAGTAGCACTGAGATGAATGCCCCATCAGCCATGTGAACCAAACCAAGCCACCTTCAGTGGCACCTCACTTAGATTGAGCTCAAGTTGGTACTTGAGACACATATATGCTAATGGAATGGAACAATGAGAACAAATACTACCCCAGTTTTAAAGAGCATCATTCAATATTTCTAGGCAAGCTACACTCTAGGACACTGAGATAACTAGGATTTGTGTTTATTAAGCCTTATTTTTTATAAGGATTGTTTATTAAAAAATGCTTTAGCACATTTTTGAAAAGTTCCTTTAAAAGTACACATCATTGTCTCAGTCTTGACTTGGGCAGCTTTTTGATTAAATGCCAGTAGTTGAAGTGGAAAGTTCGCGAGTCCATGAGATCAATAAAGAGGTTGCCTTCAAGGTGGTCCATCTCATGCTGAATTATTCTGGCTGGCCATCCATATGCCTGCCATTCATGAGCCTGCCCTTGTTCGTTCAGACCTAAGGATAAAAGCAACATTTCGATCGATAAGTGGGGCTTAACGTCCCAAAACCATCATATGATGTTTCACTATTAGTTGTAATGGCAGTGTGCAACTTATTTCTCCACCAAAAGAACGACCTCGGGTCTATGCTGGCCCAACATGCATGGCCGACCTAGTCAATCATGGCCCCAGCTTGATTAACAAGGTTGGGCTGGGGCGTGATTTTGGTTAATCGACCTCTAACTGTCACCACAGGCCCAAGGCAATAGGTCAACCTTGCAGGCTGCAGGTGGTGCACAAGTGGATTAAACAATCTTGTGCAAATAATTTAGTGCAATCTGGTGACAGCCGACGCTTAATGCTCAAACAAGAAATTTTCACAAACCAAGAAATAATGCATGCGGTGTAAAAAAAAAAATTGTGTCCACCGGTATAATGCAATGTCGGCTGGCCTATAGCAATTGGCCAACGTGGTAGGTAGTGAAGCATGGCCCTACAACAGACCACGTTTGGTCGCCAGGGCACCCCCACACAGAGCTGCGGCCAAGCAGACAGAACAAGCCAAAGTAACATAGAATACAATAATAAAAAATGTTAGGTGTGCAAACACAGACACAATGAAGGGACACAGACAACAAAAATGCCTGTCTGTCTATTTAACCTTGCTTGTGTCTGTGTTTACATTAACTTTCATTTTCTTTGCATGCTTCCTTTACTACTCATTGGCAACCTAGTTCAAGTTTGTGCTATTCTACAAAATCAAATTGAAAAAGCATCGCAGAACTTAAGAGATTAATGTTTGAGTACTTGTAACATGTTTAATTATATTGGCACCAAATCTTTGTACAAAAGTACACGTACATAAAAGATCTATACAAGGGTGTCTATGCGCGCTAGTTGGTATTTCATATATTGCGTCTTCTCTGTATGAAATACCAGTATTTCATATCAAGAAGACGGGAGTTCTAAAGAGATATAGAATGAAACAAGAGCGGGAAATAGTTGAAGCATATGTCATCAACAAGTTCGGAAGCAGATGCATTGGTAAGCCGTCTCTTGACTTGTTTTGTTGTGAAATACACTATCTCAAAGTTTAGCAAAGTAGGCAGTTTTATCAGGTTTTATTATGTGGCGGTGTTCTCGGTAACACGTGGTTCCTTGGCTTTATTTGTGCAAGCAACACAAAATAAAGCTTAGTTGCGAGTGCGCCTTTTTCCTGACAACTTCCTTCTTACAAATTTGCACGCGGCACTACACCCAGAAAATTCTACAATGAAAGATACTGTCTGGACAACACACTTATATTCAACAAAATAATTTGTGGAGCATTTACCATCTGAAGACATAAGTGTTTGTTTTAAGGTTACATAATGCGTTTAGAAATGTTTCATGCAAAAATCGAAGCTTTGAGCGAGATGGTGAACTAGCATAACCAAACAGTACACTCTGACTACACACAAAAAAACAAGAGGGGCAGTGTTTGTCCCACTTCAGTTATTTAGTCATCTTTTCTTCATGTGCTCATAGACTAAAAACATAATTCTTCATGAGCTTACTAAAAGTGATACAACTGCAATCCATATGCTTCATTAAGCTTTTTGGAACCCAGGAGTAATCCATGCTAATCATATTTATTCTTAACTACTTCTCATATCTTGTGAGAATTTTTTCAGTAGAATTATGAGCTGTTCAGGAATATTATTTAGTTAGCTAGTTATGTATTGAGTTTATTGGTGCAAGAGCGACTCAGGCTAAGCTGCGTTAAACACAAGGTACCTAGAGTTAACCAGTATATATAATTTAATACTGAAGCTTATGGAGGAATCCACTTTCTTTTAGGAAATTGATTACATCAGACAGTCGAACAAGTGAATCATATTCTAAAATTTGATTCGGGTGCATTCGTGTGCGATGTTTGTATAGTGCTCTGCAATGTTTTTGTCTTTCTATTTCAATGTAAGGGCACGTGATTAGAATATGTAAAACTGTTATTGGCTGTTGACATTTTTCACATTCTGGCAAATGTTCCTTTCTAAACAAAAAGTTGTGAGTGAGGTGAGCGTGCCCAATGCGGAGTCGACATAGGATGACCTCAATAACCGTTCTTGGTGAGCACATGGCTTCCATTCGCCCACTGTGGGCTTCACCAAATGCAGTTTATTACTCGTGCAGAAATTCCCTTGTTACTGCCATTTTGATGATAATGCTACACAAATAGTATATAGGCTCTCTTTAAGGGGAATCTTTGTTTGTTTTGCTATAGACGCACATTCGTCCACCTTTTCGTTGCCTAGTACCCTATGTGGCTTGGAACAACAGAAACAGACAGTAATATTCTTATTATTTGAAACAATCATGTGTAGGATATCACCAAGTAAAGGTTCGCACTCAGATTTTAAATGTAGCACTTTTGATGAACTTAATGAGACGGTGTATATAATCGCTTGTCTGTATTTCTCAGTGATTCTTTTTTTTTACTGCTTCCCATAAGGCATACATTTCAACGCTGAAAATGGAAATACACTCCGGTAGTTCAACACTGACAGCGCTTTATTCTGTCACAATGCCAATGCCAAAATGGTGCTTTGTTTTCGAGCCATCTGTGTAAATTTCAGTATAACCTTTATATTTGGCCTGAATTGCGTGGAATTTTTGAATCAAGGGTTATGGTGCGGTGTCGTTTTTCTTGAATCAGGTCAGCCCATGGTGACAGTTTCCGCGGCTTTATGGTGACCTTTAGTGCACCATTACAAATATTGTAGGTGCGGCAATGCTTTTCAAAGCGTGAAATCAGTGGTTTGATGAGGTGTGACCTGTTTAAGTAGTATAAGCGTGAGTGGCATTGCGTGGTGATGTCATGGCATTTATGTTGAGACTGTGCCCTAATCATTAAAAGAGAGGGTTAAAAATATGCAGTACTGGCATAGCAGAGGTTCATTGCAATCTATGTACAAACTCTGGACTGGAGATGTTCTATAGGCGCCATTTAATAGCCGCAGACCAAGATTGTGTACGGGGTCTGCCAAATGTAGGATCCTCTGGCCGAGCCGTAAACAATGCACCCATAGCCTAAAATGCTATACACAACGTAACGATAAATCTTCAATAGGCATAATCGATCAGAACCACAATGCTTATGGGAAAAAGCCTTTAAAATATTAAGCACTTTATTGGCCTTGACTAAGTGAATTAATATGAGCAAGAAAGTTAAGTTTACTACCAAGTATAACTCCTAGAAATATTTGTTCATGCTTTATCATCATTGCCATGTTGTTTAATGTAAGCTCTGGGAATAATCCTCTTTTTAATGTGAATACCACCGCAACCGTCTTTCATGTAGAAAATCAGAAGCCATTTCTGTCAGCCCAACATGTTTGTTTATGATAACTTGAAGTTGTCTCTCACATGTTGATAGGTTAGAGGCATGAGAAGTGATTTGAGGATCGTCAACATATAGAGTGTGCATGATTGTGGGTGGTATGACCTAATTAATTGAATTCGTTTTTACTATAAAAAGAGTAGTGCTAAGGATGCAGCCTTGAGGTACGCCGTTTACCTGGACAGATGTACTTATGTAGATGAAATCAGACAAAAATTTTAGCAATTTGCCTCGAATGCCTAAATTAGCGAGGTCATGCGAAATTCCGTGTCGCCGCATGGTAGTGAAGGCCTTTACCAGGACAAAAAAAAAAAAAAAAAACGCAAGACAGTACTGCTTGTAACAAAAAGCCTCTCGTATTTCATGCTCCAGACAAACAGGATGGTCAGTGGTTGAACAACCTTTTTTTATATCTGCACTGATGACTATCTATCAAGTTTCTTGAGTCAAGAATAAATGACAGTCCGCAACTGATAACACTTTCGTAAGTTTTCGCCAGGCAGCTGGTAAGAGCGATCGGTTTGTAGCTGTTCGGGGATGTTGGGGCTTTTCCAGCTTTGAGAAATGGGACTACTATGACATTTTTCCATTGTTCTGGCATAGATACAGATTGCCATAATATATTGAAAATTGTAAGTAAAACTCTTGTCGATGATTCAAACAGGTGTACCATCATAGAGTAGTGTATGTTGTCGGGGCACTACTGTTTTTTTTACCATGTGAGAGTGCCATGTTTAGTTCCTGTAATGTTCGGGGTTGGTTGTAAGCTTTGAGTGAAGCACCTGTGAGCGGTAGTTTCTGCTTCTCTATGGTTTCTTTGTGTTTGAGGAAAGTATCGGTGTAGTTGGATGAACTGGAAATGTTGTAGAAATGTTCCCTTAATATGTCGGCTTGTTCTTGTGTCCTTATCTGGATGTCTGGGCTTGTGAAAATGGGTATTGTGTAGGCTCAGTAGTCTCCTCTGAATTTTCTCAGCTGGTCCCACAGTCGTTTAGAGGAAACTGTGCTATTTATTTAAGTTATGTGATCGCGCCATGATGTTTTTTCTGCTTGCCTATGAATATATCGCACTTTTGCTTTGGCCTGCTTGAAGTTGACAAGGTTACTATATGTGGGGTACCTACTCAAGAAGCCTTATTTTGCAGCCTCTTTGCTTCAGTGCATTCTTTTGTCCACCAGACATTTCTAGTTTTTCGTACATGAGTTGACAATCGTGGTATTGACTTTTCTGTGGCTGTAATTATATCTTCTGTAATTTTGTCCTTAATGTCATTTATGGTGATATCTGGCGACTTGATGTCCTCCACATTCGCGTTTTCTGAAAACAATGCCCAGTCCGCAAGGTATACCAGCCAACGGCGTGGTTTGGAGGTGGTGGTGCGTAGTGACATCGGCAATTTGATGATTTCAGGTAGATGATCACTGCCGTATGAAGAGTCCAGGACTTCCCCCTTAAAATCATTAAAAACAGAAGGTGAACACAATGCCATATCAAGGCAACTTAACTTGCATGAACTTGATGAGAAGTATGTTGGTGTGCCAGAGTTTAAAAGACGGATGTCATTTGATAAAATAAAATCGTCAAGGAGTTGCCCCCTTTGGTCTGTTTGGTTACTGCCCCATAGCGTTCCATGAGCATTATAATCACCTATGAAAACCAATGGTTCTTGTAGGTAATTTTGATCAAGTCCTTCAGTTCTTGTAGCGCCAATTGTTCATGGGGAGGAATGTAGATAGATCAAATGAATATGGTTTTGTGTGCGATAATGCTGACTGCTACAGCCTCGAGAGGGGTGTGTAATGTGATTGTTGGGGTGGGAATGCCACCTTGTATTACAATTGCAATGTTGCTGGTCCTTACGGACAACTGAATACCCATTTAGCATAAGAGTGTGCTTTGCGCCCAGGTCTGTTTCCTGGAGGCAAATCGCTATCGGGAAAACTGGTTAAAAATGTCTTTTGTGTTACACAAGTTTTGAAGTAAAACTCTGATGTTTCTATGAACAATAAAAGCCATGATGAAATTAAAAGGAAGCAAATGTACTACTAATAAATATAGATCAATTCTTAAAATCATGTTAGGAGACATGATAAAAATTGGGTCTGTAAAGAGCGATATCCACTTAGGTTATCGCTTAGGTTGCAATGTTATTGGGATCTTGTCTCACTTGGTGTGCATTAGAGAGTGCTGGTTCTTTGGTTTTGACGACACCGAGGGTTTCGGGTCGACCTCTATCGCCTTGTCAGAGCAGCTGGGGGTCCGATGACACCGAGACCCGTGTCTTAGGCCTCGAGGTGCGATTGATCTAAAGGCCCTATGCGGCTGCTGCCTGCAGGGCCTTAGGCTTCGGTGGAGCAGCTGTGGCTGCTTCCACCTGGGGGGCGAGAGGAGATATCATTGCTTCGTTTTGAGCGGGCATGGTGGGCTCCTGAGGCCGTTGTGATGCTGCCCCGTTACACGTCACCTCTGCATAGCTTTTGTGCAAGAGGTGAGGCAACCGTTTTCTCACTTTGACAAATGAGACCTGTTCTTTTACGGTTAATGTGATGATTTATTTTTCTATTTTCCAGGATGGACAGGACTGTGAGTAGGCGGGATGGTCCCCACCACAGCTGAAACAATTAGGTGAGGCTTCGCAACTGTCAGCTTTGTGATCATTCGAGCTGCATTTTGTGGTGGTGTCCTTCTCTTGGCATGATTGTGATGCATGCCCAAACTGTTGGCATTTAAAACACCACCTCGGGTTTAGAATGTATGGTCTTACATTGATTTTCAAGTATCCTGCTTCAATTGATGTAGTGTCACAAACGAATGCAATTTTTGTTTCACTCGCTACCCCCATCATCCAAGGACGGGCGCTTTTGTATTGGGAAGAAGACATCCGGTGACTAACGAAACAGCAGCGGCGCCGCCGTATCTTCCCTACACCTGTACCGAAAGGGGCACACATGTGTTCGAGAAAATGCCCTCCAGATCAGACGCGTACGCCATGAAAAAGTTTGGACTGCATCGGAATCGGCAGTTGCCGTGCAACCAGCAAGGAGTGTGGTCGTCTGTGTCGCGTGGCTCGTGTAGGCGACGAGCATGGAGTGATTCGCGCAACGTATTGAGACGGCTGCACTACTGGGCACCCGCGTCGTCTACTAAGCTGGCGAGATCTTCAGCGGCACCCCGTCAACTCCCCTACGTGTATTAAGAGCTGGCCTGGTCCATATGCAACTTTTTAATGTGACTTTTTTTGCCCACAGGTATTTTATTACACCCAGCTTTCTAATAATCGTAGTTGTGTGCACTGCGCTGCACGAGAAATTTAGAAGCCCGAGCATAATCTTTCTTCGTAATTATTTCCTTGTATCTCTCCTCGATTTCCATCATGTTGTTTTTATTAACATTCCGCATTGTGGTTACTTGTACCTTCTCTAGTGTTCTTTTAGAACGTAGTTTGTTTTGTAGTTGTTCTTTTCGTCGCATATTAGTCTTTTTCCTCAGTTACTTTTTTGTAATCTTCTGCCTATTGCCCTTAGTTTAATTAAATGCTTGTTTGTGTTTAAGCAAATGTCTGTGCCTGCTCTATGAGTGTGTCAGTACATTGAGTGTGCCATACATCACCACATGTGCAACTCCGCACGGGTCAACTGACCTGCAAATAAATTTGAGATGTGCCACTTCAAGGCCTTTCAGGCGTCGCAGGCCGAAGCGTACAGTGGAAGCCTGCGAGTCTGCCGCATGTCGATGTTGGATCGGCGGGGCCTCACCCTAAGTGTGTGACATGTAGGCATGACACGTGTTGAAAAAGTCAGAATCATGTGTTTTGTTGGGATCTCTTGATTGTTTCTTTGTATGATAATTCTCTGGACCTTGACGACTTGTTGATCTTGGAACCCGTCGAGAAGTTCCTCATCGCTAAGGCCGCTGAAATCTTGCTTTGACGTGAGTCCTCTGCTTGTGTTTAGAGATTTGTGAATGGTCGTTGATATTTTCGTGTTCTCGATGTTTGCTAGCTCGGTGATCTTTGGAACGTGTTACTTTTCAGTCAGTTCAATAAACAAATCGCCACTTGATATTTCTGTTACTTTATAGTTCGGTCCAATGTTTTTCTTTAGCCATTTGGCCACTAAATACGGTGAAAGTTTCCTTGCTGGTATAGAGTCTGTGTGTATCACGGTGTACTTCGGAAAGGTTGTTCTGGGTTGAGTAGAAAAGTGGAAAGTTGCTTCAATGTGGTTTTTTTTGGGAGGATGATCAAGAAATGTGGATGCCTGAGATGCTATAACAAAAGATTATTGTTCGGCAGCAGCGCCGACCACCCACTACGGAGCCATAGGAGGGCACGCGGCAGAGCTTTTTGTTGTTTGACTTACTAATCCATAGAACACAAGTTATTATTGCTTCTTACTACTTTAACTTTTTTTTGCTACATTTTTTAAACATTGCGCACACATAATGTTCCCGGACAATAATGCATTTGCCTTTTCATCCCATGTCTTTTAGAGCTAGCAACCTCAAGTTTAAAGGCTTCAGAAAAGCTTTGATTTAGTAAGGTCATAAGCACAGTTCTACCTGATGTAAGTCTCCTTAAAAAAAGAAAAAAAAAAACACCAAGCTTTTCGCGTTGTAGTGGGTACAAGTATATGCCCAGCATGACTTCAAAATTTTTCGTTGATTCTACAACTTCCTAGTGTGTTTACCTGAAATCTTAACTTCGTAGTATCTCGGCACATCTGCAGTGAAACCTCGGATACTCTCGCAGCCTTCAGGAAATACGAGCCTCTGACTGTTTACAACTTCCATCACAGGATTGACGAACACCTGCAAATACAATAACAGCGGAGGCTGATAAAACGAGCAGGTCAAAATGCAAGAGTAAAGAAAGTATGTAGCAATGAATGGGCACCTTTAGCGGAAAAGGCTGGTAAGCACGCGTCCTGGCTTCTTCTGCTTCGGCCAGCTTCATGTACTTCATGGGGAACTCCATCATTATAATCCTCAATGGACAACCTACTTGAGGTGCTGATATGCCCGCGGAGTAACTGTTATTCATGACAATGCGCATTACATCAATGATCTGAAACAAGAAATGAAAAACGCGTCGTGGAACGCAATAATGGTGCACAGCCGAAAGAATACGAGTGTATACAAAACTACTTCATGCCTCTGCATCTGAAGGTTTAAGTAGCGAAGTACAGTTTATGCAGTATTCCGACAAATAGTTACCTTTTGTATTTCATAACCGGTGACCTTAGCCGGGTCGACTGCCTCTGCCCGGCATCGCAGGACAGGATCCCCAACCTGACACATGAATTCATACGGAGGAGACGGATTGACAGTTGCGCCATAGTCCTTGAGTTTACTTAGGCGACGAGAGCAAGACTCGAGAATTTTTTTAAACGTCATTTCGCACGACTGACAAACGGCGTTGGTTTACGAGAAAACGTGAAAAACGAGCAAAACTGAACCAGACGAAAAAAGAAAATGATGATAGTGATAGTAGATACAAGTAGAAAATAAAATAATGTACATTTTTTGTTTTAAAACGCTTTAATGTTTTATTGTTACAAAATATTTTTTATAAAAATCACTATGACTGACTGTTAACACTCCTCGGGTTCAGTCATGGTACCGTTCGAAGCACAGCGAAGCAACGTTGAGTAAAGCTGGCAACGCTGTGTATGAACAAACGAGGCGGATTGAACGTTGGTATTGCGTTAAGTTGACGCCGCGGTGGTAGTGACCGTGAGTTTTTTATCTGTGTAATCGTAACAGAATTCGAAGAGCTATCACCATGGTGAGTCGCTATTGTTATCGTTGAAGCGTGGGAAGTTCGATGATCAATTCATTTCTTTGCTGTTTGGTTAATGGGTTGTGCAGCCGGCTAATTAAAAATAGCCGGCTGCAGCGCCCAGTTGTTCTGCGTTTGTTGTCATTGACACTGTTATGTGTTCATTCCTTGTAGACGATCAGCAAGAACAACAAGATGCTTCAGCACATCAACTACAGGATGCGCATAATTTTTCAAGACAGCCGCATCTTCATCGGCACATTCAAGGCGTTCGACAAACATATGAACCTCATCCTTGGTGACTGCGAAGAGTTTCGCAAAGTGAAGGCGAAAAACCAAGCCAGATATGTAGAGCGTGAAGAAAAACGGGTCCTGGGCCTTGTGTTGCTTCGCGGCGAGAATATTGTGTCTATGACCGTCGAGGGACCTCCGCCACCTGAGGTACGTTTTGTGTAAGGGGGTGTTTTGCTTCACCGTCGTTAGTTTAAGCTAAGGTTACGCATAGCTTGTAAAAGCTTCTAAATAAATCCAACCTATTAGACACACCTTCCGTCCAGGTTAGATGATTAAGCGGGCTATTGGGCAGCGCCCGCTGCAATCACGTCAGTCCGAATCGCGATCTTTGTTTTATCTTTAAACGTACCACTGCAAACAAGGCTCCGACAGAGCTGTAATTTTTATTTCTAGGAGATTCATTGTTTGCAAGCGTGCATTAGAAACTGACGAGCTTTATATTTACAAATAATGCACTTGGGTATTGTGAATGGAATGCCAGTGTAGAACAAAAAAACTTGCGAAGCCAAATTTGGTTTGTACGTCTCTTTACTTGTGCGTAAGAATGTCTGGCAACATATTTAACGTGCTGGCTGTTAGCAAAGGCCTAGTTTTTCCTGCGATTTCAGGTCTTTTCGGATCACCTATGCCACCAGGAACCTGTTTATGGTAGTGCACGATAGGCTTGGAAATTATGCAGGTTGAGTTCAGTGGTACTGGAGCAATGCGACACTAAGAGCAAATGAATAAAGGTAGGGAATTTACGAGGGCTCATTTTTGTTCTTGACGCAACCTTGATGACAACCAGCCGATAATGAAGCCAGAGGAAGTATAGGGCACATTAATTGTTCCCTATGCTTTCTGTGATGATGAGATGAGGGTAATATAATAATTGTGGTATAGACATCATCAATGTGGAGGAAAAAACAGCTTGTTCCTGGCAGGTATTGTACCTGTGACCTTCAGATTTATGCTCCCGATGCTCTTGCCAGGAGCGGTCGTCCCCTCATCCACTTATATTTATGCGCATGCAAATCCTGAAAGTGTTAGCCATTATGGCGAGTGTGGAGCACTGTTTGCCATATGGCATCATGTGAACCTTTAAAGAAGAGCAGTGTTCGCAGTGAAGCTCGGTTGGTAAGAGCTTTAGGCACATAATGTGAAAGTCACTGGTTCGTTCCTTGCTAGTGGCAAGTTGGCTTATTGTCCACTTTACTTGTAATAACAATTATTACAGTATGCTTACAATGGTACAATTAACATTCCTTATACCTTTTTGGCTTAATTATCTGCTGGTCTTCACTAAGAGCAAATGGTGAGATGCTGACATGGTGCCAGCCAGGTGTTACGTCCACTAAGTGTACTATATTCACATAAGTAATTGTGAAATGCATGCGGGTTTGTTTGTCAGAAGTGAAAACATTCACTTTATACATAGATGCACGGCTGCTGACTCGCAGGTCGCGGGTTCGAATCCGGCTGCGACGGCTGCATTTCCGATGGAGGCGGAAATGTTGTAGGCTCGTGTGCTCAGATTTGGGTGCACGTTAAAGAACCCCAGGCGGTCTCTCATAATCATATGGTGGTTTTGGGACGTTAAACCCCACATATCAATCTATATACATAGATGCAGCAGCTGCAATGAGGTAGCATTCAAATGAGCCCAAGTTTTTATGCTGCATCCTGTGCTGTGCTGCTATGCACTACTCGCGTGTATGTACCAGCCTGGCACTGTCAGTAGAGACGGTATAGGAAAATCTTGTACCAGCCGTGCCCACTTTGGAATGAACAATGCAGTTTGGGGGGCACTACTACAACGAATCATGTGGACAGATGAAGTGAGGACACCTTTTGAATTGCTGGGGCACCTTAGGGTGGCTTCTATACATGCAGATAATGAATGCATTGTTGACGTCAGCAATTTTTAATTATGCAGGAGGGGCTGCCGCGTGTGCCACTTCCTGGTGCTGCCCCTGGACCTGGCATTGGACGTGCTGCAGGAAGAGGCATTCCAGCTGCACCTATTGGAGCTGCACCTGCTGGTACGCAAACTGCTGTGTCACATGGGCATTTGAATACTACTGCATTGAACCACGCGAGCGCCTGACAAAACAGTTGTTTGCTGAGAAGAGCACAGCTCTAGCCACGTAGATGCCTGCTCTTGATAGCAGATGGCAATTTGGGCATGTTCTATAATTTTGTGACCCACTGTGCTTATGTTGGAGCCTTTGAACATATGGTACACAAAATTGACAGGCAATTTAAAATGGAATCTGGTGACTTTGCACTGATGGCACTCATGGGCCTGGTGGGCAAAGTGATTGAATTCTTCCTGCTCAATCACAGCATGAATACATTCCATCTGTATGGCCTCTGCAGATGGGAGGTGTTTGCACTGTTATTATTATTTATAATATACAGTAGTCTCGTTAAATGAAACCTGAAGAGACCGGGAAAATGTGTTCCAGGGCTACAGAATCCAAGAGCTAGAACTAATCTTGTCAGAACTTCTTTATTCATTCGCAGCAGTCTCGTTTAGAGATTCCATTTACCGAGAGTCTCTGTGCTCAGATTACAAAGGACCATGCAGGTGGGAAACTATACAGTTGCAAATTTACATGCACAAATGGAGCCATAAGGCACACAAGCTCACAGGAAAGGGAAAGAAAGAAACGTATGAGCATATCTAGAAGTATTTCAAAAACCAGCGCAACCTGTTTATATCACAAAATAATGCAGCTGATGGGGGTTTTCTACATGGAATCATGTCTGGTCTTAGAAAATGTCGCTGAAGTGTGTATGCTATTGTGTACAGATATAAGAACATACGGGAAACATGTTTCAGGCTTGACAGATGTCCATGAAGGTAGCCATAAAATTTCAGCTCTCTACTCGCTCAAACCTACACGTGCACAACTATGAACAATGACTCAAAACAGCCAAAAAAGAATGAGGCTAGTAATATTTGTTTCAAGCACTATGAAAAGCACAATGCAAAAGTACTGAGTCTGTAGCTACACTGAGCAAACCGACTGAAGTGTTCCAGAAAAATACATGAAAATGAGTGGTTCAAAACAGTGTTGTAGAGTTTCCACTGCGAAATTGGAATCAATTCGGAATCGTTCCACATTTTCACGTCCTTAGAATGAAATGGGGACAATGCTTGGAGGAATGGAATGGGAATTGAGTTAAGCACTTTTTGTTCGGAATGGAATTACGTATTTTACCGAAAATAGAGCACGTTTTCATCTACGTGCTGTTCTTCAAACTTCAAACATTAGTACACTCAAATCTTGAGATATAACGAACCTGGTTATAACGAAATATTGTTATAATGAAGGAAAAGAAAGAGTCTTGTAAGCTATAGTGCTGAGAATTTAACCTTATAACGAATTTCTGGATATAACGAACTTATTTTCGCGTATGATGCAATTTTGTTATAGTGAGGTTTGAGTGTACATTAGAGCCTTGAATTTAACAATCAAGCAGCATTTTTAAAATGGCTTGGCTGATTACAAGCACAATACATTTATAAGCAACGTGCCTAGTACAAGTTTGTCCTTTGTAGTGTACACGTATCCTGAAGGAGTACGGCCAGTAGCGTGGGTCCGGTCTTGGCGAGCCGCAGGGCATGCGTTAGCCGTTGTCGTAGCGAGAACACGGTACTGCTCAAGGTCACAACACTTTATTGCCTGCGGCAACACCAAAATGCAGTACAGAGCGCGTTGCAAAGGCGCAGTGGGGAAAGCAAATGGGCTTATCCACGCCACGGGTGAGAAGTACTGCACAGGGGTGCTGCGAGCACGTTTTGTGGTAAAAGTGATTCACGGAGACATCGGGACAAAGGGCCCGGTTGCTCGAGCGAGGGCAAAGGTGCTCGCGTTGGCTTTGGAGAGATAGGGGTCGGTGTAGCCTGGCCACGCACTGGGACACTGCACCGCTCGTCAGCCTAGTGTTTGCAAAAGGGCTACAAAAGGTGAGCGTTCGTCGCGGGTACGAGGCACCATTGCATTCCGGCGAGCCCCCAAACAATAGGAGTCGACAAACAGAAAAGAAATGCGTGCTCACCGTAAGCTGTCCCGGAGAGATCCCACTCGCTCCCGACGCACGCGCGCCATATGTCCCGAGAGACTTTGCGCACGGTGCCACAGTCTACATCTGCTATCGGGTGAGAGGGGTTAAACGTCACTCCCCGCTCTCCCAGTGCGCAACAGACCATGGAGGAGGGGAGTCATGTCAGGACCTGAGAATGCAAAAAAAAAACAGACAAAGCCCGTGCAAAGGCGGCGGGCTAGCCTCGATTCCCACATTCTCTTCTCCTAAATTTGCCCTTTGCCGGTCTGCAAAAGCAGCCGGACATTACCCATGCAGTTAAAATGACACTGCTATGAGCAACAGCTAACCTCAGTC